CCCCAGAGGGATGGTGGAAGTTGAATATTGATGGAGCTCGCAAATTAGATATAGGAGTTACTGCTTGTGGGGGAGCTCTACGAGATTCTAACGGTGAATGGATCATGGGATTCCCAAAAAACTTTAGGACAATGTTAAGTACTAGAGGCAGAACTATAGGGAGTGGTCGTGGGACTTGAAATGACATGGAATATTGATTTACAAATGTCATGGTTGAGACAGACAATAAAGAAGTATTCAAACTTTTGATGCAATGTGCGTTGATGGATAGAGTATTACCGATGGTACAACATGTCGTCTGGTTAATTCAGCAAAAGTGACAGTTATATTTTGAACATATTCCGAGAGAACGAAACGAAGTTGTCGACGGATTGGCAAAGATGACATGGAACCTCCCATTCGGACTCCACAACTTTGAAGACCCTCCGGCGGAGATAGGAAACCTATGGATGAACGATCGAAGAGGAAACATAGTAAACTAGCTTAGATCTTTTCTACCTTTGTGTACTCAAAAAAATTCTATGATATAAAGAGAGAGTAAAAGAAATTGGCTATTGGAGAGAGAGGTCAAGGTATCTAATTGTCCTCAGTTACTATCGTCTAAGTAAAGATTAATTTCTATTTCTTTCATATCGATGTATTTTACTAACATTTACTTCATGTTTACATTTTTGAAATACCTAATGGTTTTTTTTATCGCTTTTTAATAGAAATTGAAGCTATTATATAAAAAATTATTAATATAAGATAAGTGTATATGTTCAAAGATACTTTCAATTATTTGACAGTTTTAATTATTTGACATTGAACATTTACGTACCGACATTTGTAACGCTCGAATCCGAAACTTCAAAGAATTATAACAATTTCTTTATCACCAATATCACTCAGTTCATACTAATTATATAAATAACACTAATAATATGGTACTTAATACAATAAAGATCTGAAAATGATCTGTTTTTGTAATTTTTAAGTTTTATTGAATTTTGAAAGACAAAAAAACATACAACATAATGTCCAGCCCAACAGCCAAAGAAGACATGAAAGGCAGACACGGAACATCACAATCACAAGGACGATAGAAGAAGCCATAAATAGCTCATCACTGCTCCCATGGGGGTGTAACTCCACGAGCCCTAAATATGGCTTCAACTTCTGGAGACATAAATGCCCATGTAGCGATGAGAGGACGCCCATCTAAACCGGGTGCAGTGGAGGAACTTCCTTGAACCCCGGGTGCAGTGGAGGAACTTCCCTGAACCGCCGGTGCAGTGGTGGAGCTACCCTGAACCGCCGGTGCAGTGACGGAACTTCCCTGAACCGCAGGTGCGGTGACGGACTTACCTTGAATCCCACGTACATTGCGAGGTTCTAGGGCCAGATACTCGTCGTCCAACACTTCTCCTTGTTGCCGCTCCATATTTGGATAAAATACTTGGGATATCACCAAGGCTAAGCAGTAGCGTGATTCTGGGAGAATATTACGCTAATAAGCTTTTCTTGCTGATGACGATGGTTGCCTATTCATTCAGTCTTATATACATTAATTTCTGCAAATATTTTGCTATAGAAAAATGAAAAAAAAAGTTGCCGAAATTTCGATTTGAGCCCATTGCCCAGATGCTTCCTTGTGCTACATTCTTTATATAATAAGGAACCTTCTCTCCTCCTTCAAGATACTAAAGTCTTGGTTTTGCACCTCGTATTCAAATTTCTTCTCTTTTTTATTCATCCATTTGTACGTTAAAGTTTTGATTTACACCTCGTCTTTAGTTTTGTTCACATCTGAGTAAACGCGTTTATCATTTATACTCTCCATAGGAGAAAATGTTTGGTAGGGCACACTAACCACTCTATTTTTTTAATACTATTAGCTTCAATTTCATAAATTTTATATTGATTTATGGTACAGGATTCTTATATTAAAAAAGACATATTTCAAAGATCGATTAACGTTCACTTACAATATAGATACTTTTAAAGACTTGAACAGTCAACGTAACAAGTGTGACAGACATAAGTGATAAATAAAAAAAATAAGGTAAATTATGCCTTTAGTGTTTAAACTATTATTTTTGGTCTGTTTTAGTACTTAAATTTTAATTTTTTAAAAGCCATACCTAATGTTTATTTTTATTTCATTTTAGTACCCCGCTGTTTAAAACCTAACGCATTTAGTACATATTCTATCAGTTTTGGTCTATTTTAGTACCTAAGCTTTCAATTTTTTCTTCAAAACTTAACGTTAAATTTTGGACAAGGGTACTAAACTGAAACAAAAACTAAATTTTGGATGTGATTTTGAAAAAAATAAAAAAGTAGATACTAAAATGGATCAAAACTGATAATTTAGATATAAAACACGTAATTTACCCTAAAAATATCGCCTCCACTAAAGTGTTAAAATCACTCATCTCATGTATACAAATTATTTGAAGTGTTAGATTACACTTGTACCAGATACATAATTGTTTACAAATATTACAATGGTGATGTATTCAATAATATAATTGTTTAAAAATTACCTTTTGGAATGAAACTAAACTGGATACAATCATTACTGATTTTGAATGGCGATGGAACTGCTCTGGGCGCTTGATAGCAGGTCTAATGGGCACTCGGATCTTCGTTTTCCTCGCTGTTGATTGCTGGATTTTCTTCCTGATTTTGGTTGTAATTGTTCTGGTTTCTCAATTCTTTCTTGAACTTTATGGAACCCTTGTCTTCTGAACTCGATTGGAGAAAGCTTTTTCGAGGAACGAAAGAGCAATCCCTAGAGTATTTTCCGCCTGAATTGTTGGAGGGTATTTCTACTGTAAAGCCTCCTATTGATGTAATTGAAGAGGGAATCGCTGAATGGGGTTGTGCTGTGGTTGGGCAATTCATTGGAGACTCTCCTAATTTTGGCTCCATGTAGCGTATTGCAAAGATTCTGTGGGGGAAAGCTTTGCATGTTAAGGTAAGCTTGGTTGGGCACAATCTCTATGTTTTTTCATTCTATAATTCGGAATTGAGAGACTGGGTGCTTGAGAATGGCCCTTGGCACATTCAAAACAAGCCTCTCGTGTTAAGGAAATGGGAACCGAACCTAAGGAAACTTGATTTTGATCTTAAATGCATGCTTGTTTGGGTTCAGCTGTACAATGTTCCCTTAGAACTTTTTTCTCGAGTAGGTCTCAGTTATATAGCAAGTGTTGTGGGTAATCCATTGTATATGGATTCTGTTACTGCTTCAAAGGAAAGGATCGAATTCACCAAAGTTTGTGTCGAGGTTGAAGTTGGGGCAGTGATCCCTGAGGTGATCCATGTAGTCTTACGGATGGCTCTTTTGCAAAAATTAGAGTGTATACTCCTTGGTTTTCTAAGATTTGTCTACAGTGTAATACTTTTGGCCATTTAGCAAGTAGTTGTGTTGAAGTGCTAAAAGGCCCTTCGAAAACTAAGGAAACTAAAGAAACTCATTTTTGGAGAAAGAATGTGAATTCAAGTGCTCCTGATTATGCTGACAAAGATGGGGTGGTTGGCAATTCTAGTTTACCTTTGGCTCCCTCTACTTCTGCTACATAGAAGACTCTACCAAATAGTGAGATGCAGAGGGCTACCAGTTTGCAACTGGGTATTGTTGAGAAAGTTTATGTTCTTGCTCTTCAGGAACTTACTGCTACCACTTTGAAGGTGGAAAAGAAAACGACAGATATTCCTGGGAAAGATGATCAGGTTAAGCTGCTGCCTGATCTTGCTTCTCAAGGTAGTGTACTTGAGGTAAAGGAAAGTGTTATTTCCCATTCTCCTGGGAATGCTGTTATTACTAACTCTGTTAAGGAAGTTTCTGGTAGTGGTGATCTGATTGTTACTGCTGGAGATAAAATCAACCCTATAGCTACAAACTTTGGTGGAGATTTTCCATCTCTACAGGATTCCTTAAATCAAAAGAAAAAGGCTAGGGGAAAAAGAAGGATAATATTGGTTCTTCTAGTAAAATTGAGTCTCTTGCTGGAGGAGGTGTTCTTGATGGGCCAAGGAAGACCAGGATAGCATCCTTGGGAGTTGTTATACTCCTGAATGAAATCAAGACAAAAAAGAAAGAACATTTGGATAAAGCTAAGAGTGAGGTATTTTGTGGTGTTGGTAGTGGAGACCCTCATATTCCTAACAAATGATTATTAGTTTTTGGAATGTTAGGGGGATCAATAATAGCCTTAAACTGAGAAGAGTTATAAGGAGATTGGAGGCTTTATGTGTTGATGTTATTTTTTTATAGAAACCAGAGTTCGAAGTGCTAATTTCTCAAAGGTTTTTGAAGTCTTGAGTGCTGATTGGAATTTTGCTGCTAATTATGATTTTTCTGATGGAGGTAGACTTTGGGTGTTGTTGAGGAAAGGGCTGACATTTACTTTCTTAGGAGGATGTGATCAGGCCCTTACCATTGCTGGAGATGTAGCTGGTTATAGCATGCTTATTACTGCTGTGTATGGCAGTAATAATGGACTAACTATGAGGGATCTTTGGGAGTATTTGAAGAATTTTGAAGCTGACATTGGTTCTCTCTCATGGCTTATAGGGGGTGACTTCAATGTTGTTGCCAATACACAAGAAAGTTCAGATTTTTGACTCTTTGGGGGTGCATAGCAGTTCTGATATGGATGATTTAAAAGGATGCTTGGTGGATTTAGAGTTGCAGGATCACCCTTTTTCAGGCCCCCTATTCACCTGGTCAAATAAGCAAGAAAACTCTTATTTGTCTCGAAAGCTGGATAGAATTCTTATAAATTCTTAGTGGTTACTGGAGTTCCCTGATTCATTTGTGGAGTTCCAAGATCAGGGAGTCTATGATACACCCCTGGCATAGTTTGGTCTCAAAGGAGTGTCCAAGTCCATAGGCCTAAGCCTTTTAAATTTATTAATTGTTGGACTGCAAATGATAATTTTTAAGGGTGGTAAGGGATTCTTGGCAAGAACAGTGTGCTGGAAATGCGATGCAAATTCTTTTCTGTAAGATGAAAAGGCTAAAGCCTTTGTTAAGGGAATTCAACAAGAGTTATTTTTCTGACATCTCAAGTAGAGTGATTGCTAAGAGAGCTGAACTGGAATCGATTCAGATTTATAATCTTGGCCATGTTGATCGTAGAAGAGTGGCTGAAGAGAAAATGGTTCAGGCAGAATTAATTGAATTGGAAACTGCAGAATCTGAGTTCTATAGACAAAAAGCAAAAGCTCACTGGTTGAAGGAAGGCGACATGAGTACTAAATTTTTTCATCAAAGAGTTGAGTCAAATAAGAAAAAGAATACTATCATAATGATCAAAGATGAGAATGGGGAGTTCCATGAATCTTTTGATGGCATCGCTTCTGAACTTGTTAATTTTTTCAAGGGTCTCATTGGCACACCTGACCCTTTGGTGAAGGGCTGTTCTGTAGAATGGCTGAAATCCCTGTTGGATTACTCCTTGCCTGATGGAGCTGATGTATCCCTTGTTGGTGAGATCACAGATAAGGAGATTAAGGAAGCACTTTTCATACAGGAAAAGGATAAAAGCCCAGGGCCAGATGGTTACACTTCTTGGTTTTTCAAGGTAGCATGGGAGATTGTTTGTAAAGATTTTTTGAATGCTATAAGGTATTTTTTTCATTCATCTTCTCTCTTGTCTACTTTTAATGCCACAATAATTGCCTTGGTGCCTAAGTCCTTGAATGCTTGTATGGCTAAGGACTTTAGGCCTATTTCTTACTGCTCAGTAATTTACAAAACAATTACAAGGATTTTAGTCACTAGGCTGGCAGTTTATTTTCCTGGTATGATTTCTCACAACCAATCATCATTTGTAAAAGGTCGAGATATTGCTGAAAATACCTTGCTTGCTCAGGAGATTGTTAGGGGATACTCTAGGAAAAACCTTTTTCCTAGATTTTCTTTGAAAATAGACCTCCAAAAGATTTCTATTCAGTTTGCTGGGATTTCTTATTGAATGTTCTTGAAGCTTTGGGTTTACCTGCCATTTTTTGTGGATGGATAAAAACTTGTGTGACTACTCCTAGGTATTCTATTTCTTTAAACGGTAGTTTGGTAGGGTATTTTTTGGGAGCAAGAGGAGTGAGGCAAGGAGATCCATTGTCTCCTTACCTCTTTGTTATTGTAATGAATGTGCTTTCAGTTCTGCTGAATGTTGCTGCAAGGGATTGTGTATTTAGGTTTCATCCAAAGTGGAAGAAAATTTGTCTTACCCACCTTTGTTTTGCTGATGATCTGCTCCTGTTCTGCCATGGGTCTCTTGATTCTGTTATGGGGGTTGTTAGCATTCTTGATAGGTTTTATGAACTTTCTGGTTTAAGATTAAATGCTATGAAATCTGAGTTTTTTGCTTGTGGGGTGTCTGTGAATAGTCTGTTGCAGATTCGATTAGCTACTAGCTTTAAAATTAGCCAGCTACCTGTTAGATACCTAGGAGTGCCTTTGGTTACTCAGAAACTTACAAGTAGGGACTGCTCGGCTTTACTTATTAAAATTAAGAGCAGAATTGATGTTTGGTCTAGCATGCACCTAAGCTTTGGGGGGAGACTTCAGCTTGTTAAATCTGTTCTGTTTAGCATCTTTGGCTATTGGAGTAGACAGCTGGTCTTGCCAAAAGGTGTTATTAAGGACATCGAAAAGCTTTGTATGAGGTTTTTTTTGGAAGGGAAATGATATTCCAGCAAGGGGACCAGAGTGAGCTGGAGTCAGATTTGTTGTTTAAAATCTGAAGGTGGTATGGGCCAGAGGAAGTTAACTGATTGGAGCAAGGCTTGTTGCCTTATGCTTGTTAGGAAAATCCTTGTTGATGATGGTTCCTTGTGGATTGCATGGATCAAAGGTTATTGCTTCAAAACTATGGATTATTGGAATGTTGGTTGCAAAACCCATTTTAGCTGGATTCTCAGAAAATTGCTAAAGTTAAGGGATGAAGCTAGGAGACTGTTCTGGTCTGCTATCAATTTGACACGGATCAAAGATGGTTGGATCTGGGATAATGTTTGTGATAGGAGGGACAAAGTTGATTGGCATAGACTTATCTGGTTTGCAGCTCATATTCCCAAATTTTCTATTATAGCTTGGATGGTGATTCTTGATAGGCTGCCAACAAAGGACATATTAGTCAGATTTGGCATGGTGACTGATAACGTATGTGGGTTATGTGGTGTTGGACAGGAATCCAGTAATCATCTCTTCCTGGAATGTTCTTATGCAACAGAGGTTTGGGGTGCTATTTTGCAAGCTTGTGGGCTTCAGCTTCAGGTGCTGCACTGTTGGAATGACGCTTTGCGCTGGCTGATATTGAATTTGAAAGGTAAATCTCTTCTAACTCAAATTCTCAAGCTAGCTTGGACTGGATTTGTTTATTTTATATGGGAGGAACGGAATCACATGATTTTTAGAGGTGTGATCCGTCCAACTGAGGTAATTGTTAATAGAGTTAGAGAGACTGTTAGAATCAAATTGTATAGGTGTCATTTGAACAGATTGGATAATGTAAATAGGAGGTTGTGTCTTGATTGGGATTTGATTTAGCTGTTTGTAATGTTCCTTGTAGCAGCTTGTTGTTTTCTTTCGGATGAATAAAAACTTTACTTAACCCAAAAAAAAATATAATACATCTCTAACAAATCAAACAAGCAAGCATAAAATACATACATGTTTTACGTCAACAGAGAACCCTACCAAAAGCTTGGTAATTTTGGTTAAAGAATTGTGGTAGAAAAAATACAATTTTATAATTTAATTATGTGTTGGTTAATAAATGAATTACTTTTTTTTTAAAAAAATTACATGAATTTAGTATTTTTTTTATGATACTATCTAACCAAATGAATTCATTAGACTAAAACAATACTTGAATAAATGTATTCTGCCATAAAACAACGAACAAGTTATTGTTAAACTATTATTATATTAAGAAAGTAAGATAACATTTATGACAAAAGAACAACGACTAAATTGTTAGAATTTTTAAATATGAAGAGTTAAATTTACTTGATTTTTTCAAATAAGGACCAAATGATAGAATATATATGTTTTGGAGACTAAAAATTGATATAATATTAGGCCACATCAATATTTCGTCTAATATTTAAGAGTCAGTGATATTTTTGCAAGTTTTAGAAATAAGTAACCCATTTATTAGCAAATACATAACTAAATGAGTTAGACTGTATTTTACCCAATAAAATATTGAAGGAAAGGGGGAGTTATTTACGGGGAATCTTCCATTGATTTCACGAGCCGGAAGTATATGATGTGGACGGGTGGACGCATATCAGATATAATAATTACTAGCGTAAATTACAAACTTAATCACTAAAATTTATTATTTCTCTTATTTTTATGACTTAACTTTATAGTTTTTTAATTTATTCGCTGGACTTAATAAATGAATTTTTTTCACTCCGCAGTTAAATAGTTGATTCTCAATCATTTGATATTGAACGTTCAAAACCCCAAAATTCCTAATGTTCGAAATCAGAACCTCAAAAAATAATTATTATTTCTTTATCATTGAAGTGATTTGATTCATGCTTAAACCTGATAATTGGTCGTATAAGGTTGTCTTCTTCTCTCATGGGTATTACGTTTGGTTTGTAAACAGCTTAGCGGCATTGACGCGGGTCAATTAGATATTAATTACTAATATTTTATGACCAACTAGCCTACAGGGCTATAATATTTGTTTATTTTTAAATTAAAAATAATAATGGATTAATTATATATTTTCTTCCCATTGGCATTATATAATGTGCCTGCCATTCCGGGGAAGGGAAACCTGGCTCTCTTATTCCCTCAGTCTTCTCCCTTTGTCCATCTGTGTTCTTCGGACAGTGCAGAAGCTAGTGTTTGACTTCCTTCAAAACAACAGGTACCAACTCTGTCCTGTCTTTTTTTTCTCTTCTCTTTGATAAATTTGTATAAGTATTCGGTGATTTCCTACATTTTTTTTTCAGATTGGTTTTGCTTCTTTTATCATGAATAATTTATTTGCTTAGCTGGACCACCGACAGAAAAACCTTGAAATTTACAAATTAAAAACCATAACTTTATCCTTCCCTTCCTCATATATAGACAAGGAGAGATCCGTATACATTACAAGATAATGTGATGTTTTCTTACATCTTGGTCCTTTTCTTTTTCTTCTTTTGTAATTTGTTTAAATTTCTTTCCAAAGTTAATTGCCAAATTAGCATCAAAATGTGGTTTGTAAACAGCTCTGTGGCATCCTAGATCTGTTGTATGGTATGGACTTGGGGTTTATGTTTCTCTCCGGATAATATTGTTTTTAAAATCTCAATCTAAATTATCTTTTGAGAAGTATAGCATACCTTCCTGCTTACCCTGTATTTATCAGTAATTTTAAACCATTTTTAATTGTTTTAGATTAATAAAATAGAACAATATGTAAATTTCACTTGCAATTCCCGAACTATACTAGGAACCAATTTTACAGCATCATTAATTTGCTGAAAACAGAAGCTCATCTAGACTTGTCTTTAAATTGATTGCTAATTTTTCTCACGGTAAAAGGGTAACTTTTGTCCCTATAGTAGATCCAATTTATCACTTCCGCCCTTATCGTATTTTGTATCAGTTTAGCCCTTAAAGTTACTGAATCGCATCATTCTATAGCTCTACCCCTAACTTAAAACCCTAAATTATAATCCCTAAATCCTAAAGTACTATAACCCTATTATCTCTAAACACTAATTTAAAATTTATAATTTAGGGTTTTAAGTTGGAGGAAGGGTATAGAATGATGCAATTAAATAACTTTGAGGGTTAAATTAATGTGAAAATACGATAGATGCGAAAGTGATAAACAAAGGTGACTCTTAAGTTTTTTTCTCACCCATGGATGATATTATACTAGATAACCCACTTGAATTGTAGTAGGTTTTATTTAGATCATTGAATTAAAAGAATTATTAATTACGTCACGTAATTGTTTAAATAATATCAATTAAATCATCAATACTTAATCATTAAAAAATGATTGATGTGACAGTTAAATAATTTTTTATAATTACATATTTTATCTTAATTATTTATATAATTTATTAATTTATTCTTAATTTTAATACAATTCAATAAATTGATAAATTATATACGTAATGAGGATTAAATGTGTAACTATAAAAATTTATTTAATTATCACGTTAATATTTCTGTGAACTGTTAATGAAGGATCACTCGATTTATATCATTTAAATAACTAAGTGTCATAATTAACTAAATTAATAGATCATTAATCAAATTAGATCCCTATCATAATTAAGTGACTGTTTGAGTAGTTTATTTTATTATATTTTACTCTTAACTATGGAAGAGTTGTTAAATTATAAAAAATTTAATTTAAATTAATCGATCAATAAATTGAATATAATAATTAAAAAAACATAATTATGTTTGTCTTCTTATCTGTCTGATGTGAAAAAAATAAATATAGACTTATGGAGAACCATGAGCCTGGAACAGAAAATAACACCTCCGATGAAAATCTAGACCATCTGGCGAAAGATATTGAATCCACGTTAAAGTTCGTTAAGAGTTCAAAGCGTCCCGCCGTGCAACACTGTATAATCCGCTCTGTAAACCCTTTGCTCCGTCGAGTAAATGAAGCAGCCTACCGACCCCTATTCGTCATAATCGGCCCCCTTCGTTGTTACACTTCTCTGTTAGAGCCCATGGAATTGCAGAAGCGAATATATCTAGCCTCCTTCCTCCAACGACCTGGGGTCGGTGCTAGCTTGAACGAGTTTTGCAAACTGATCACAGCCTCCGCACCCGAAATCCGAAGCCGATACGAAGAAACATATTACCGGAGATGCGATTTTAAGGCACACCAAATCCAACAGAACATACCGCCGAGTGACGACAACCTCCAGTGGTTCATAGAGATGGTTTTAGCGGATGCAGCCTTCATTATTGAACTCTTCTTGAGAATCTATCACAAGGAAGGTCAGCCGGAATCGGAAATCGATTTCGTCTTCGATAGCCCCGGGAAGATATATGATATCAGACGAGACTTGTTCTTGGCTCACAATCAACTTCCCTTGTTTGTTCTTAAACAAATATATGATCTTGCCTTTGGTAATAATCCCGATCATCACCCTTCGTTTATTCATCTCAGCTGCAATTTCTTCTACCAGTACTTCAACCAAAACATATCCATCCATGATTTGTTTCAACCAAACCAACCTCATGTTGATTTTATAGCCAAGCTGGAGGGTGCTAAGCATTTTACTGATTTGCTTAGAACACTTCAGCTAAAACATTCATTTCAAAACCCTGGAAGCAATAGTAAATCCTTTAGCTGTAAACCAATGTTCAAATGTTCTTCATTGTTTCCATCGGGCCAAAAGACAGAAGAAAATTCAGATCTGGAGTCGGGTCGAGTCCAGGGTAAATATTTATACAGTGCAACTCTACTGCGTGAAGCGGGTGTGAAGTTCAGAGTGAGCTCAAGCAGGTGCTTGCTGGACATAAATTTAACAAAACTAATGGTGAGCTCAGTATTCCTCCACTGAAATTGGATGAATCAACGGAACCATTTTTCCGAAACATCATGGGGTGGGAGCAGAGCTACTATCCGGAAGAAACCCACGTCTGTGACTATGTTTTTCTAATGGAATATCTCATAAAATCTAGTGATGACGTGGACTTACTTGTTCGGAAAAGGATTATCATCAACCAGTTGGGGAGTCACACGGCCGTGGTGACTTTGTTCAACGACCTCTGCAAACATATTCCCCCGACGGAGAATAATCGTTACTCGGAGACTTTTAGGGACCTCAATGCTTACAACTCGGTTCGACGTCATGGTTGGATGGCAAAGCTCAGACTACTCTACTTTTCATCTTTGTGGAAAAGTGTCGCTACGCTTGCTGCTACTGCGCTCCTTTTGCTCACTCTGACACAAACCATATGTGCTCTCATCTCCCTTTAGTCTATATCATATGTTCTGTGTGTAATCATTACCATGTGATTTGAATTTGAGCCAGATTCTCTTTAAGTTTTCACACAAACTTTTAGTTCATGTCTGCAACGTTGTTGAAACATTTGGTCCCCTCACAGCACTCCCTTCTGAAATAACAAAAAATTGAGTGAATCCATTTCTGGTCCTAAATGGACAAAACAAGATACATCAACGGAATGTGATGCTCAACTGCTGAAGCTCGAAGACAACCGGTAACAGGACAATCGACCATATCACTGCTGAAAATGAGACTAGATAGATAACAAGCTATTCAAGTTTGACAAATCAAATTATTCAAATCGAATTTATCGTATACAAAATTTGTAAACATTGCATGAGACATTAGAGGAAGGCAATTGTTTTGATTATTTTAAATCACATGACACAAGATATAAAAATAATTAATTAATTAAATTTTGCTATAAAATAATTTATATATATAAAAACAAATAAATTAATACCTAAAATTCCTCACCAATGTAGAGATGTTCAAAGGTTGGATCAGACTGAACTCGAACTGAACTTCACGTGAATAACAAAATATATTTTCAGTCCCTAACTTGATTGTATTAAGCTTGATTTTTAAGTAGTTCTGTGA